ACCATTGCAACAACACTTCCGCCATTATACTCTGTAATAGATTGAGGAATCAATTAAAAAAAAATTTTTTTTTTCAATTTATGCAATTTTCGTACGTCACATGATTTTTAAATCCCAATATGCAATCGATCGTACATAAAAAAACTAACCAACTTAACTAATTTAATTCATTACCAAAAAAATAAAAGATTTTCTCGAAACAAAAAAATGTATCGACGACACCTTTCTTCAACGATTCATTCCAGTTTATGGTCCATTCTTTGATTACGATCGAGAGGGATGTGGCAATTACGATAATATAGATCGCGGGTTTGATTATAAGGCTGGTTGGGAAAGATCACGGGAAAAGACTATGGTGTAGGAAGATAAATGGTGGTAGAAGAAGAATGGCCATACAAAATAGAATCTTTTGTCATGAAAATCCACACATTTGCTAACCCTGTTGTGTGAAGACGACATTAAAACGAAAATTATTAGACCTCTAATGATGTTCATGGCACTCCGATTCTTTCGTGATCCATATTGATTGCCTGCAATGGTGAGTATATAGTATATTCATTCGTTGATTTAATTAATTTTGAATAATTGTTTATAATTATCGTTAATAGTAAAGTTTCAAAAAATGACATCTCGTGTTCGTGAATGTAACATTGGCAAGTTCCTCCTACCAAATGATGCTTCACTTGATCGTGACCACGTTCAAGCAAAATTTGAAAATGTTTTGCTTGAAGTTAAAATTCCCTTCAAAACATATAGAGAATTCAGGGTCACATTGAACGTAAAACAACTGAAAGTGGCATATAGCAGAATTCAAATTCTTGAATATATAATAAAAGAATTATAAATTCTATTAAAATATGCAATGGAATTAATCTTTTAAAACGAAAAAAATGTTGTGTCAAAATAACGATTTAATTTTTTTTTCTTTTACAAATGCATGATGACGACAACAAATAAATTCCTTCTTTTATATTTTTTTGAAATGATGAAATGAGTCAGTGGTGTAAAAAATTTTTCTACAAAAGATGATTTTAATTAATGAATATATATATATAGCTCAATAACCAAAGGATTATACAATAATGAAACTATAAAATTTAACGTTATTACCATGACTATAGAAGGAGAAGAAGAAGAATTGCCATTTTTTGACAAAACTATTATCATCGCTCCGGGCACAAGTCTTTACAGCGTTGATAACACTATTCAAGAGCAAGAAGAACAAAGAGAACAAAAGGTGGGAATGGATTTTGTTCATAGATGTATATCCCGTGTATTCTATCAATCTCATTTGAGATGCGCATGGAATTCTTACATACAACTCATTAAACTTCAACATGAAAACCATTTACCAAATTCGTATAGATTTTTGGTGAAATATGATGACTATTACTATATACAAATTTTGACCTACGCATAATTAGACAACGTATAATGGTCAAATTTAAAAAAAATTGATCAAAGTATAATGTTTCTTTGCCTTTTGATCTCTTTTATAAATATAATGAGATATAGTAATAAAAGTTGATAAATTTTTCATAAGTGAATGTGATTCATGAAATTTCATAATTTATTATCTATAGTGTATCACATTATTATTATTAGGAATATATAAATAAATACATTAAATATTAAATATTTACATAAATCATAAATTTTAAATTTAAAATAATAATAATTAGAAAATAGTCATAAGTGCGAAGCAAACATATAATAACCCGATTGGATAAGCAATTAACAGTCGTTGATCTGTCATTTGTAGAACAATTACAAACATCGTAGAAGATGAATATGTGCACCAACTTATTGCAAGTGTTGAAGTCACAAGTCCAATAGGTCCACTGTAAAATTATAACCAGCAAGAAACATTAATATAATTATTTGATAACAATAACAATAACAATAACAACAATAACAACAACAATAATAGTTACCATAGGGGTATACCAATACCAATACAACTTAATAATGTTAAAGGCAATAGACAATAACCTAATACACTTGCTGTACGATATATATCTATTTCTAAATCACTCATAAGATTCAATATTAAATAAATAGATAACCATCCAAGAAGTGCCACGCCATAGATGTATCCAAAGTGCGCTTTCCCTGTCTTAATTTATTGATTTGATTTTTTGTTAACAAGACAATCTTTCAAAAGAAACAAAACCCAACAAACAAAAAATTTTCCTTTACCAGTAATAAAGAAACACCAAATATTAAACAATATATAAGCGGTCCTGCTAAATCGGTATCATCCATTATATGTTTATCGATTGTTTTAAGCGGATTCAACACTGCCAAACTCTAAACAAAATCAAAAAAACTTTAGTTTATTTAAAAATTTAAATAATAGTTTTGTTCCCAATTAAATTATTACTTTGGTTTTTATATGTCCAAAATTAATTCCAAGTTCTAAATTTTTTAAAAAAAATATTAAAGATCAATCAAAAGTTAACTCCAGCATAATATTTATTTTTATTTCATTTATAAAACACACACGTACGTACCTTCTAATAATGGTGGAAGTGTTGTTGCAATGGTTGGGTTCTGATTAAACAACAGATGGATGTTATATTGGACTTCATGGATTGACCACTGATGTTCAAACTTTGTAATATTTTTATATATAATATTGATATTTAAATTGGGCTAAATAATGATGGTAAATAAAGGTCTAAATGATTTAATACATAAAAATTATGTGAACGCCAAAACATTTTCACTCCAACACTGTTTTACATGGTTCATAAGAAAGAGTTATATATTTTAAACTGTATGGAATGGTTGTTATCTTCTGAAACATTGTAGGAACCCGATTTTTAATAATAATAATAATTATTATTATTATGTTATCATCGTCATATTACCTGTGATTTGTTATTATAATATATTTCTTTTTACAAAAAATTTGTTTTTTGAAAAAGCTTCAATAATAAAAATAGTGAATGATCCAAAAAAAAATTCTTGTTTTTTTGAAATGAAAATGATTTTTATGATTTGATAAATACAAGAAAAAAAAAAAAAAAAAGAAGGAAAAAAAATAAATACAGAGAAAAAAATTGTTCTAAGTAAAATAATGGGTTAATAGAATACTAATACTAATAATAAAAATAAAATAAAATACCAAAGAAAAATTATTATTATTATTATTATTATTATTATTATTATTATTATTGCTCACTATTATTAACCCATATAAATCACACAGATCACATCAAGTTTCCACCAAATATTGTTATTATATTAAATTAATTACTGCAATGCCCAAAAATAAAAAATAAATTTATTGTTCTTTGATATAATATGCAAATCAATCAGATTCAACTAACTATTAAAAATTTTTTTTTGTTACGAGTGAGCCCAATGTGTGCTATCTTAAACCTTGTAGTTATATTGTCGCATCAAGATGTACAACAACCTGGAATGACTTCCTCTTTCTGATCATCAGGAAATTTGATAGGGTTTGGTCTAATATGTTTTTGTCGATCGATTTCATTCTTATGCTCGACCAAAGTACGTGTAATCTGAAGAAACAATTCCTCAATGCCTAATATCAATAAATAAATTAACAAATCAATAAGCAAATTAAGAAAATATTAGTAAACTTATAATATGAAATCAACAAACATCCAACTGATTAAATTAATTGATTGATAAATTACCTTTATCATCTTTGGCTGATGCTTCATGTACACTAAAATTATTTCCTAAAATACGTGAAACATAATCCTGTGTTCTCTTTAATGGTATAACTCGTCGATCTGGAGCTAAATCGATTTTATTACCAACCACATGTATTACTAAATAATAATAAAATTAAATTGCTTTGAACTATTATTATTATTATTTAAGATATTATAGATTAAAAAAAAATAAAAAAACAAGGATTTACTCAGATCATCATTCATATTCTTGCGTAATTCTTGTATGATAATAATAAAAAAAAAAATAATAAAATAATGATTATTAGATCTTTAAATTGCAATAATAACCTGTAATGATAACAATAGTAGTAGAGTATACCTTCAATCCAAGAATTCATATCTAGAAAACTTTCCTCGGATGTAATATCATACACCAAAATTGCTGCATTAGCCTTTTTGTTTTAAATAATAAAAGTCAAAATACGAAAAATTTAACGGGAGGTTTTTTTTAAAAAAGAACCAAAAAATAATATTACAACTTACTCCTCTATAATACATTGGAGCCTAGAAATGATTGTATATTAAAACATATACACATATAGATATAAAAAATGAATGAGACAAAGAAATATTATTTATTTATTTATTTATTTACCATAGATCTAAATCTTTCTTGACCTGCTGTGTCCCATATTTGAAGTCTCACTTTATAATTATCCACAGTACTAAATTAATTAATTAACATGTAAATACAAGTCAATATAATAGAATGGATATAACCAATTCCACATCTAATTGAGATCCAGATAATCGTCAACTTACAGTTTTTTGGTCATGAAAGAGGCGCCAATCGTGGATGAACAATTGGGTGCAAAGGTTTGATGAACATATCTTATTACCAATGAAGTCTTGCCAACACCTTGATTGATTGATTGATTGATTGATCGATCGATCGATTGATTGATTGATCGACGAATTGATTTAATGATTAACGATTGATTTATTTGATGAAATAATGATTTTTTTTTTTTAGTTTTTTTTTAAAGGAAAAAACACGTTTTAAACATTCAAAACATTTAATTTTCTACCTTGACTTCCCAAAATCACTACTTTTGCTTCTAATGTTGGTGTGTGCATTTATATATATATATATATATATATATATAATTTATATAATTTAATTTTTTAGGATTAGTTTAGATATTTTAATTAATTTAAATTTTTTTAAGTTGAGGGAGATTTTTTTTTTTTAAAAGGGGAAATTAAAAAAAATGTGAAAGATTTGGCTTTAATAGGGTTACATTTTTTTTTTTTTCAGGGGAAGAATTATCCAATTTATTCAAATTTTACCTAAAATTACTAAAAAAAATAAAATGATTTGATTGAAAATCGTTTTTTGGAAAAGAAAGAGATAAAAAGAAAAAAAAAAACAAAAGAGGGGAGATAAAAATAAAATAAAATAAATAATAAATAATGACGACTTTTACGATTTTTAAATTACATCACAAAAATGGGATCATCATAATAATAATAATAAATAAAGAAATCATCCGTCAATCAGTCGAGGCCTTAGTACTTTAAGAGAAGGTTAGGTAGCACATGGGGAATTAAACCCAGAAACTTTATAGTTGACGTAATAATACATGGGTATTTCTTTATATAGTAAAGATATTCTCAAATTTGCCAATAGGAAGACGGAAAAGTTTTCTGGGGCAATGTCGATTAGTTGACGTAAATCATTTGTCAACACGCCCCGCTGCTGCCGCTACATACACTTTCCCAAAAAATTATTTAGTCCAAAACAAAAATCTTTGCAAATAGCATAATCTCAATCTTAATTATCAAATAGATATTTGCTATTTTCAGATTGTAAAAATTGCCTTTTTAAAAGATTGACAATTGTCAAAGATTTTCCAAATATTTATTTATTATTATTTTAAAATGAAATATTTGAATGTGTCAATTAATCAATAAATAATAATAATAATGTGCGTGTGTAATTTACATAACATCTTTTATTTATTTATTATTACATTTTTGTTTATTTGTTGCAACCACATTAACCATATTTATCAAAGAATCGAAAATTTTGACATAAAATTAAAATCAATAAATCTTGCTTGTATTAATCATAATCAAAAAGACATGATAATAAATCGCAATTATAATTTAAAAAATTTGATTAATAAAGCATCATAATAAAAATAATAAGCACGCACATAATATAATAAAGTGTAAATAAATGTTAATTTATTATTAAATCATTTAATTATTAAATTCAATAGTGAAAATCAATTAGATTGATCGCTTAACAAAGCAATCAAAATCAATATTATAAACTATAATTACTACAAGCTATTACTATTATAAACTATAATAATCATTATTTGAGAACTTTCACAATGATATTTATTTTTTTTACAAACTTATGAATCAACCCTTGTAATCTCATGCTAAATTAACTTTATCGGTAATAGACTTGTAATTAACAATTGTAATAATAATAAACTCTTTCTTGGTTTACCAGTCAACATATAAACTTTCTTCTACCATACCTACTCATTATTCATCTATCTCTCTCTTTCTCCCCCCCGATAAACTTTCTGATAAACTTTCTGATAACTCTTCAATTAGCTATTTGACAAAATTCTAACACACTTTCAAATATACCTCGTAATTACACCCAAAATATTAAATTAAACATTAAACACACGCTATCTCTTCTCTCTCACACAAACACACATTCACACAAATTCACACACATTCACACACTCCCACTTATTCTATGCTGTTTCTATCACTACTTATAATAATAACATTATTAATATTGTCACAATCAATCTGTCCAATCCATTATAAATAAATCTGTATAATAATAATAATAATAATAATAATAATAATAATATAATTAATTGACGTAATGAGGTTTTTTTTTTAAGGATCATTAATTCATTCCATTTTCAATCAATATATTTCTAAATATATAATTTCTTTCTTTTTCTTTTCTTTTTTTTTTCATTTGTTACAAAAAAATAAACCATTATTATTATTCTTATCGATATATAAAATATAAAAAATATTTTTCGCCCCTTAAGTTTTCTCTCTCACACTCGCATTTTCTCACTCACACTCTCACTCACACTCACACTAATATAAAACCCCCATCAAATCATTAAATTTCATCAAGCATAAAAAAAATATATATTTTTCAGAAAAAAAATAGCAGAATTGTAAAAAATAAAATTTTTTTTTGTTACCCTGCGCACATAATTACTTTATATAATTACACGTTCGCATTGTTTTAATCTTCTCTCCAATAATAATATTATAGTGTATATATATATCCTCCCTCTCACATATCTATATCTAATTTCTTCTAATTTCTCTCGGTTCTTTTTCTACAAGAAATTCTTATTCCCGTAAGTTAAATAATCGTTGTTTTTTTAAAAAATCACATTACGCGCTTTAATTATGATATTATACGCATATACTTTATTTCTACATTTAATTAAATAGAAAAGATTTTAAAATTTTTCTAAAAGATGACTTCTCCATATCTTGTTAATAACTTTCAAGGTAATAAAGCTTTTTTTTTTTTTTTTTTTTTGGTTTAATTATACGTACTCAAAAAGTTCTTGAATCACCCAATTCATTAATATTTAATTTTATATAGGTAATTCGCTAATAATAATAATTACTATTGTTATACTCGAGATAATCTTGACATCGGTCATACATAATCTTTTTATATATATCTGTTTATTTAAAAAGCAGAAAACATTTTGACTGGAGCCAATAACAATAATAACAGCAGCAATAGCATCACTCTTCTTCATCCGCCACTTCCACCTCCATCAATTCCATCAATCCCGATCTCTATTTCCTTAGCTTTATCTTTTATTACAGTAAGTTTATATCTTTTTTTTTTGGCTTAATTTTATGATCCGAATTTAATAACATTAATGAATGGATTTATTTCCAAATGTTAATAACAAATAATTCTTTTTATTCTCCATATTCTAACTCAATTCCTAATTATCACGACCATTGCCTTTATCATGTTCTTTCTTATTTAGAATAAGCGCAACGGCGTGTGTCTAATTTGTGGACTTTATATTCCACAATACGAATCAGTTAGATGCTCAGCTCTTGAATGCTTTGTAGTTGCCCACTCCGGTATGTGCTATAATGATAATAATAACAATAACATTCATTTAAATATTTTTAAATATTGGCTATTTATGGAATTCCAAATATAGCTGACAATGCACTTCAAAATCCAGTTAGATTCTAAATTATTTTTATTTTGCGCATTACATAATTTACATGATTGTCAATTAACATTGTTGATTCTTTTTAATATCATAACTATTAAATAAAATTTGTTTAATCAAAAAACTCAGGGTGTCTATCTAGTCAAGGTGTAAATATCCCGGCATACTGGCGTTGTGGCTTGCATGTAATTATATAATTTCTCGCTTTATTATTATTAGAAAACCATAATTTGTCAACAATGCACTTCTGGCTTCCTTCCTTCCTTCCTTTGTTCTATTAATGAATCAATTGACAAATTATTATAATATGTATAAATCACTATTACTTAGACAACTAGTACTGCAACAACAACTCCAATTACTACGACCGCCACCCCTTCTAATCATCCTTCTTCATCTGCTACCACAACGACCACTGCAAAAACTTCTAATAATTCGTTTGCTACTTGCAACACTGCTATCGCCAACATCAATCCTCCCTCTTTGTTTAATATTGCAACAACAACAACAACTACTACTACTACTGCCAATCCTATTCCCTCTTCCCCCGGCTTTCAAACTCCACTCGATATGTTGGTAGCCGCTGCAAACGAAGTCGTATGTAAATTAATAATGGATATGGCAATTTATAATGATAATTTAACCTGATAAATAAATAACAATAATTATACTTGTGATATTTACTAGTTATCAAACTCAAGTTCTCCTGTAATGACCGATAGCATGGACTTGGGCGCTGATGATAAAACTACTACTGTCAACTATCTTCACCGTCATGATGCTAATTCATCCTCTTTCGCTGCCACTGTTGCTGATGCTGAAGGTAATAATTATTACTCCTTTAATAATAATGATGATGATTATGATGATGAAAGTGATAAAAAGGGTGAAGAAGGCAATTGGTTCTTCAATATTCTACATATAATAAATCATATTAATCAATTGTTCCATTATTTTCTATTTATATAATTAACGCACGCACG